CTATTAGTGGGGCACAAACATCTCTTCATGTGGCTTTGCATCCAGATTTAGAAGGAGTGAATGGAAAATATTTCAGGTATCTTTGAAAATTTATTTTGATTATATTGTACACAGTACTTGTTTTAAACTTTTTGATCTTAAACAGTTTGATTTTATTTACCAAAATCCATGCAAAATATACATTTACATATATATATATATATATATATTACATTTAACAAATTAAGTAATTTTTGTTTTAGTGATTGCAAAGAAAAACAAGTGGCTGTTCAAGCAACAGATTCAAAAACAGCTTCTTGGCTGTGGGCTGTTAGTGAAAAATGGACTGGTTCAATTAATTAACTATATTGTAAGAGTTGACTTTTATTAGACTTGTTATTAAATAATATAAAGCATAATATATTTTTTATTCTGAAATTTTCTGTTTTGCAGATTACCTTACTTTTGTTGACATACTCATTTTGTTTCAAAATTTTCAGAAAAATTGTTTGTAAAATTTTTAAAAAAAAATCTTTTCAGGTTTTGAAAAATAAAGTCTCTTTTCAAAAAAAGATATTTAAAAAAATTGAGAATAAAGGATTTTGCCATAAATAATTGACCCCACCCTGGTATTTATTTAATTTATTTGCCATTTTATAGGTTTTTAAAAAATAAAAAAAAAAAAAAAACGATACCAATTTTCAATTTTGTACCTCATCTCATGCAAAAGTTGCCCCTTCTTTTAAACTCGCTTTTTGGCTAAGAAAAGAAATAAAATAAGATAAAATAATTTTTCAATTGATGTTTTTGGGTAGTGCGTTTAGTTGGACTGCTTTCTAATTAGCATTATTTGAAAGATAAAATTGCCGTCAGACTAACCAACTCACTGAAAGGTAAGTTTTTAAGATTTATTCTTGCACTAATAATAAAGTTTATAATAAATTACTTGACATAATTTTTTTTAAGCAGTTTTTCTCTTGAAAGTAGTTATAAAATGTTTCAAGGGTTTACTAAACGCAAGTATAGCTATGAATCGAATAAGCAGGGTAAAACATTAAGAAAGAAATTACAAGCTGAAATATTTGCTGATCTTCTTGATTGATATTAAACAATAGTGCTCATAATTATTTATTAAGTCAGCTAAGAGAAGATACTAGAATTTTAAATGGAAGGAAATTCATGCTTAATGATAAAATTTTAGTCAGTGCAAAGGGTAGTTTAGGTTTGGCTATGTCCCCAAAAAGTTTGTGAGTTGCGATAGTTACATTGATAATACAAGAAATGTTATTATCTTATGAAAGTTCGTGTGTTTGAAATTGTTGCAAAAATAGTATACGATTTATGTTGAACTAATGAATGTATTAAACTATTTATTTATTTATTTAAATTATACAATGTGTTTAAGGGAAAATTAGGAAAAAATAAAAGGCTAGAGCTATTAGGGGAAATTAGAAAGAAAATAATGAAATATTTGTTTAAATGTAATATAATTACTAAACAGTGGGTATTTATAATATGTATTATTGGTGTTTAAAAAGCTCAATTTTCGTGTGAAAGTAGGCGTAGATTTATCAACTTTTGCTTTTTTATGTTCTTCTTAGTGCGTTCTAATTGTTAAGTACATTTTTGTAGCAAAGTTGATAAGATCATGATAAGAGCTGGAGAATTTATTAGAAATGACTTGATCTATAACTAGCTGTAAGTGGATTTCTGTCTTAAGGCAATTAGGGCATCGTGCCTTAAGGCAAATTGCTGGTACTTCCCATACCGCAATTTCAAAATTCGAAGTAATTAAAAATAATCAATAAAAGTTGATCAATGATTTGAAAACTTTTAATAGAATTTCGAACCATATTAAAATCATTCTATCTTAAATAATTTATTTTGAAATATTTTGGAGATTCCGAACCTTTTTAAAGCAATAGACTGCTTTAACTACATAAAGATATGAAATATCAAATAAGCGCGTACGCGCTGCGTCGCCGTCTAACGCGTAAAACATTGGTACCGAACCTATAGGAATGTAAACAAAATTATACTTATGTTAAAACCTATATTAAAATATCTGATAATTGATGTGCATAGTCTAATGTTTATTTTTGACCGCCAAATGGCTCATTTTTTTTACTTTTTCCTCATATCTCCAAAGTCGTTGGACCTGCCTTTGGAAAAATTGAACAGTACTTCATTTAGTCAATACAAATACAATGTTTTTTTGAATTATTCAATCGGACGCTCCGTTCTCTTAAAAACTGAGTTACCGTTTTCGGCATTTTTTGCCCCGTATCTTCGGAATGGCTAGACCTGCCTTTGCTAAAAACTAATCAGCACGTCTTCTCATCAATACGAATCGAATGTTTTTTGAATTATTCAAATCGGTTGATCCGTATTCCCGAAATCGTCGACGAAAAAATTGTATCCGAACACACACACATATATCCATTTTTTCTAGGTATGACAAAATGTTCAGAAGGTTTTGAAACGTAAAGATCTATAAAAAATTTCATTTTCGATTTTTTGCGATTACTATAAACTTGCCCTACGGGAAGTTAAAAAATGTGCAAGCTTAGTAATCCATGTAATATAAGGTCTATGATAACAATAAAAACACTTGAAGTTTGAATAAATCGGTCACGAGCGCCCTGTCTATAACTACGTTCACGTATCGCTTTTACTCATAAAATAAAGTATTTGTTAATATACCTTATATTTGAATTAATCTATTTTTTAAAATTAACAATGAATTAAATTTCAAAGTAATTTATGAACACAAATTTTAAATAAACTAAGTTACTAAGAAAGTAGAAGGGAAATTGCAATTCGTTTGATACATTGAAATTTGACGTTTAATGCAATCTCAGCATGCATATTTCATTGATAGTCTAAAACATAAATTAGGTTTTATCATTTTAATAACTTCTGGAATTATTTTTTTTTTCTTTTTGAAATATTTTGTCATTGCTGGCCAACACTAATGACGTTAATAAATTGAATTAAATCAACAACAAAACTTTGAGAGCCAGTGTCAAAGTCAAAAATAAATATGTTACTGTCGAGACCTGATTTTTGTATGTTTTTAAAGCAATGTTGCCGACAAAATTATAATAATGGCCTAAAAAGAGCATATTCTCGGCGTAGTGATTCAAAAACCACCAGTGCAAGTTATAAAACTGTCAAATCGACAAAATCTTGTGAATGGTAATAATTTTTAATGGACCTTGGAGTATAATGCTTATTAATCTTAACTTTATTGTATCTATTAGATGGGTCAAATACAGAATTACATGAAGATCCTAATTGGAAAACTGCTGCCCCTAGAGGGTACAGATTTTTACTGCCAGGGTCCATTGGAGCTGCTTGTCAAGGAGTCTCGACAACTTGGGCTCCTGAAGGCGCTCTTAAAAATTAGTGAATGTAGATCAAAGTGTAAGTAATATTAACGTCAACAAAGTCATACTTTTGAATATAGATCCATGGCATTGTTAAATTTTATCAGGTAAAGTCTATCAGTTTATGAATTGCATCATCCATTGGTTAGGCCCATATTAGCCCATTCGAGTTTTGGTTTGGTTGAGAAATATATTATTTTTGACTAACTTTTATAGCATATGTTCAAGTAATTTTGTTTCAGACTTTAGTATGCTATTTAATTGATATAACTTGTTATTAATTGTATCGATTGAAAAACATCATGCGTGTGAGAATTCATTTCTACATTGTTGTAGTTTTGGAATTGTTAGATTAGCAGGTTTCTGCAAATTAAATTAAATTAAGTTCACAATTTTTAAAATTAACAAACCAATTCAAAATGCAAAAACTATAAGGAATGCTTGATAATTTTAGGCCTGTATATCAAGTGATTTGTTATATTTTTAAGAAATGAATACCTTTTTGAAATCGAAGCACTGTCAAGACAAAAAAAACTAAACTTATTATTTCACTCATAATCAACAAATACAAGATATAACTATTGTTACACTTTTCAAATTCCAAATTAAAATGTGTTGCAATAAATGCCTATATTTCAGAGTGCTGAAAAATTGAACATTACTACCTCACAATGTCCTGTCCTGCTGCAAAAGAGTCTTCTAGAAATGTTTCCGCATAGTGCGATAAACAAGTGCACTGCCTTTACAGTAGCTACTTTGCATAAAAATATACCACATGATGATATATGCGAATTAGATTCGGAAAAGATAGCAATGATGGTAAATTAGCAATATGTGCAACATTTACTACTATTATTATTATTATTATTGAATTTATATTTCATATATTACTAATGTCTTTTAGTTTGTATATGCAGCACAAGAACTATGCACGAGACTAATTTTATCAGGATATTGGGCTGATTTTATAAATCCTTTCAGTGGAAGGTCATTCAATGGCCCGGTATCTAATAATAATAAGGTTTATGATCCAGAAGAACAATTTCTTTGTCTTGGTTTCAGTATAGATAGTAAAGATAAACTCTGTACTATCATCAAAGGAGAACATGAGGGTCAAAAGTTCTTTAAAGGTAATTTCATATTATTATGATAAAATAAATATGGTATATTAACGGCTTAACTTAATTCATTAAAATTTGTATGATTCTTCAACAAAAAACTGCAAATACTTTTTATGCAGATTGATTTGGAATTAAAATAAATTTATTAACTTAAAAAATTAAGTTAAACAATATAAATCCTATTACATCTTGATTTTAATTTCTCAAAAATATCTTTCTCGAATACATATCAAAAGTTTCATTTATTTTCAGTGTATTGTTTAATTACTTAATCTTCTGTTTATAGGCAATATATTCTCGGATGCCCCTTCACATCTTGAAAACATTTTGGACATAGTAAAAAGTTATGAACTAGAAAATTTCAAATGAAAATATTTCTAATCCCCGAAGTACTATATATTTGTGATATCAGATAATTATTTATATAAATATGATATTGTTTCAAATAAAATGTTCATATTGTTAAGAAATTATTGTTCTTTAAAATGTTTTGTGGCAAGTTATGGAAAAAAATTCAATAAAAATATAATTTAGTGAAATGTGACCTATTTATTTCAAAATATTTTCTAAAAATAACTCATTTGTAATATAAGGCAGTTTACAAATATTAAGCTAATTAGAAAAAAATAATTTGATCAGTTTTTATGAGTTTAAAAATAAATTCATTATTTATACAAATTTATAACAAAAATTCTGTTTATCTTTTACTAGAAAGTGATTCAATTCATATTTCCAAACAAATGTGTTCAAATTCAATATGAACAAAATATTTGTCAATATTATTAAACTATTTTACACTAGTAAATAAACCACTTTGGCAAAGAATCAAACAGATGCTAAATCTATACACATACAAATTTAGTTCTAAAACATTTATAGAGAAACCAGATCCGGTGAATGAAAATGTTTAGAATTTATATTTTATTTATAAACATTCCAGTTGTAATTTGTTTATTTACTATCGAGTGTTTTTATTATTTTTTCAATTCTTGGTCGGCGTTTTCAGGTTGAGTATCGAAGCGGTTTTTTAACTTTTCTAATCACAGTCGACGTTAAGAGTAATTTATATTATGAAGTTTAAATTCATAATAAAATAAAAGCTTTTATTGTTATAATTTTTGTCACTATATATTTAATCCTTATTCTAATTATTTGATACTAAACGGTCTCCTAGGAAATATTTAATGGCGGATATATAAATATCTACTGTTACCTGAAACGACAAAAGATTTATAAAGTTTTCTAAATTGAACCCTCATCCCCACTTTTCTGAATTCTGTTCGATAATACGAAGGGTATTTTTAAGCTGTAGGGTTTCTGACTCACTTCGGCTCTACAAAATTTACCCTTCGAGGGTTCAATTTAGTCGAGTCAATGAAGCCGCCAAAAAAGGTAAAAAATAGAAACTTTTTAAAAACAGCTCTGATTTTATTAAATTTCCGTATGGTAAGTTATAGTAATCGCAAAAAAATTGAAATAAAAAATTTTATATCTTTCGTTTCAGCGGTTTCTGAATATTTTGGCATACCTTAGAAAAAATTAATGTATGTGGTGTGTGGATACAAATTTTCGTTGTCGATTTCGGGAACTCCGATTTGAATAATTCAAAAAACATTCGATTCGTATTGATAAGGACACGTGCTAATTAGTTTTTGGTGAAGACAGGTCTAGCCGTTTCGAAGATACGGGGCAAAAGTGCCAAAAACGGTAACTCAGTTTTAAGAGAACGGAGCGTCCGATTTTAATAATTCAAAAAACATTTTATTTGTATTGACAAGATGAAAAACTGATTAAATTATTAGAGAGTCCAGCGGTTATGGACTTTCAAGAAAAATAACTTAAAAAAATAACATTTGGCGGCCAAAAAAATGGATGGATATGTACATCAAATTCTCCGATATTTTTATAGAGATTTTAATAATGTGTACACATTTTGTGTAAGTTTTTTAGGTTTCGAACAATGATTTTTGATTACGGTACGAAAAGTTCCATCAAATTGCCTTAAGGCCACGATGCCATGCACCTCACTAGCTAAAAAAAAATGTTTAAAATCAAAAACATTTCAGAAGAGAGATTTTTTTTATTGTATAGCAAATGTATAATGAGAAAAGTTTTCGAATGGATTCTTGAATAAAAAATATTTGTATATTATTTTTCCTCTAACATAGTTATTATAAGTACGGCTATTAGTAATAATTTAATATTTACACCATAAAAAAATTTACCAAAAAAATTTATATGCGCAATCTTTTTTTTTAATGAATCACTTTAAAGTGCCATTTCCACTAAAATTAAAATTAATTGTATTCTGCCTAGAATTAACTTTAATACAAAATGTTAGATAGATTCTAACAATTTGGCTGCTTTAGGCACTTTAAAAAACATCACGATTTTAAGAAACAACTTATTTTCTTAACTAAACTTATTTTCATAATATCTCAAAAATTATGAAATATACGTATAAAACTATAACGACAAAAAAATTTATAGAACAAGATCTACATTTTCATCATTATATAAAAACTGAACTAAATCGATATTTTATCTGGAAACTTTCTGCAAAGCTTTATTGACTCGACTAATAAGAGGGATATAGTGTTTAATTTAATAAAACTGGTATTATATAATATAATATAATTTATATTATATTATATATAGGCGATATTAATATATTAATTATATTAAAATTAATTAAATAATGAAATATTTTAATAACTATTTAATAAATAGCCTGGTTTTCAAAGATACTTTGACTAATTCAGATTTTAAAGATTTGTATAGACCATAAATGAATTTAATTCACTTCCAAATAAATTAGTATTACAGACCAATCAGCAACTAATCAATTAATATTTAATTAATTAATTAATAATAAATTAATTAATTAATAATTTATATTGAATGTTAAGCCATTAATATTTTAACACATATTTTACATATGTGTGCGTATGTAGCGTATATGCGTTTTGTTATACATATTTACATGCTTAATATATGAGCATATCGTTTTTATCAATATGTACGTGTTGATATTTTTTGATGGTTCTTGAATTATTATTGTAATGAGTTTATAATAACAATTTAACAAAATATAAGCTGAAATCAATAATTTTCATCATAAATTCCTTAATAACGATCTGGTACAGTTCGTGACGACGCGACGCTGTTATGACGCAACCCTGTTTCCATTCATATTCAATATACACATAGATAAAAGAAGAGTATATGTGTATATACAATATATATTCACTATATTCTCTTCGTTTATCTATTCGTATTCATATATTTTGATATGTGAATTTAGATTTTTTGTTATTTAATATGTTTGACTTGACCACCAGTTTTTTTCAATAAAAATATATTGTCTATATTCATATACGCATATTGTAAAAATAATTACAAAAATTGAAATTTTACTAATATACCAATGAAGTAATAATTATATCCGAAGTCACATATCTTATGAAAATACAATGTGCACGTGATTTCTGATATCATAGGATATTAAATTATTATATAACACATTTATACATGAATGACAAAAAATATATATTGGTATATTTAAATTAATAATTTATAATTTTTGGTTCTCAATTGCTTTTTTAATTTTTTTTATAAAAAAATGTTTACTAAAATCCATATATATTTTTTTTATTAAATTCCCGTAGGGTAAGTTATAGTAATCGCAAAAAAATCAAAAATAAAATTTTTTATATATCTTTACGTTTCAAAGGGTTCTGAATATTTTGTCATACTTTAGAAAAAATAGATGTATGTGTGTTCGGATACAAATTTTCGTCGACGATTTCGGGAACACCGATCAACCGATTTGAATAATTCAAAAAACATTCGATTCGTATTGATAAGGAGACGTGCCGATTAGTTTTTGGCGAAGGCAGGTCTAGCCGTTCCGAAGATACGGGGCAAAAAGTGCCAAAAATGGTAACTCAGTTTTTAAGAGAACGGAGCGTCCGATTTGAATAATTTAAAAAACATTTTACTTGTATTGATAAGATGAAGAATTGATAAAACTTTCATTAAGGCAGATCTAATGGTTTTGGAGATCTAATGAAAAAAGTAAAAAAAAAATGCCATTTGGCGGTCAAAAATGATCATTAGACATATGCACGTCAAATTATGAGATATTTATAGAGATTTTGACAATAAGTATAAATTTTGTTTACATTCTTATGGGTTCCGTATCAATGTTTATCCGTTAGACGGCGACGCGGCGCTTACGCGCTTTGAAAAATAGTTCAGAATTTCCAAAATATGTCTAAATGAAAAAAACATTTTTTTTCAAAAAAAAAATTATTTTAAAATAGTAATTTTTGTCAAATTTATAGTTTCTCAAAAATCTAACTTTTTGAAGTAAATTTTTTCAAAAATGTTGATCGTTTTTAAAAAAATAATAATTTTTGGTACGGGAAGTTCCAGCAATTTGCTTTAAGGCACGATGCCATGCGCCCCACTAGTTTTAATAATTTTTACAACAGTCCCATTTACATTCACAAATCCATAATCATTTAATAAGTCTATAATATATATTTTTTTAAATAAATATTATTTGAAAATTTTATAAGAATAAATGTATTCATCTAAAGATGTAGATAAATCTGCGTTAAAACTGTATCATAATAAAAAATTGTATATATATTTGTATTTATATAAATAAAAGTTTCGTTAATCGTATTCGTAAGCGATTTGTGTGGATTCGTGCTCCCGCCATGAGAACATCTGCCGTTGAGCATTCGATGGTTGGCATTGGTTAGCTTGAATGTTGTTTTGGCGCGGAAATTCTCCCACTACGCACGTATATGAAAACGTCTATGCTGTACTCTCGTTCCATAGCAGTTCAGAACGTTTTGTACTGTGCTTGTTTGGTATCATTTCGCTAGTGTTCACTCAGTGTTTTCATCAGTATCTCTGAAACAAATATCTGGTAAGTGTTTTTATTATTACATTATTTTAATACATACTCCAATAATTATTTCTGCATATTTAGAATTAATTCTGTGGAGTATTATTTTTAAATGCGATGGTTTTGTGTGTGGCTTGTCGAGTGACTGTGAGATGGCCGCGTTCGGCTTTTGCGTTTTATTTAAAAATATGATTCTAGCGTTATTACGATTACTATTTTTATAAATAATATATACATCTAGCAGCAATTCTGTATATTTAGTTTTCCGGGTTTGGGAAAAAAGTTTTTTGTATTATGCGTAAAAAAAGATGTCTGTACCTTGTAGTCAATGGCGTGGCTTCATACAGGCCATATATCTTGATGGTGAAATAATTTTTTTCAGCGAAATTTTCTTCGACGGAGTATCGAGTTTTGATGCAGAATTATGCTAAAACTTACTTATTTTCAACGTGGATTCTCATTTTTTATATTATTCTTACGTATAAATAGTATTTTCGTTCCCGCCAAAACAGTTGCTAGGTATAATGCATAAGCGAGAGTCGTCCATTTGTACTATACGTAAAAGCTTGTATATAGGCCGTGCCACGAACGACGAGCACTTTATATAGAAATCTGTTACTGTGAGTTCGTTTTTTAATAAATTTATTTTATTTTAACAATTTTGTATTAGAATTTTTTGTGGGATAATTTGTGAATGTTTATTGAATATTTTTGTTAAATAATATTATTAAATTACTCAATAAATTAGTGAAAAAACCTTTTTTTCTGCGTCCATTACTGAATCAGCTGTGTCGTTAAAGGTAACTTGGCATCATTGATTGAAATACAAGGATTTGACTCATCTATTATTAAACACATTATAAATATGAAATATTACGATGATTTTTAAATTTTTTTTAATTAAAATAAATTTTGTTTTTATATTTTGAACGTCGCGCCATTGATAACGGTCGATGTTAGCTGTTACGTCCTTACTCGGCTTGGCTTTTTGAGAAAGTTGATTGAAGTTTTTTATGTTTATTGAATGTTATAAATAATTGGTGAATAGCAATTTGTATTCATTTTATTGTATTTATTTTATTGAAATGTTCTCAACAACAAAAATTATTTTTTTGTAAAAAATCAATTTTTGTTTGGCCATGTTTCTTTTGTAACTTTCACCTACTGAAGCATATTTTCCTTTTTATCTAAAAAATTAATGATACAATTTTTTATTTTAATCAAGAAGAAACTTAATAAAAATAATTATTATATAATATATATGAATATTATATGTATATATATATATATTATATATATATTATATATATATTATATATATATATGTATGTATATATAGTATATGTATGTATGTATGTATATATGTATATATATATGTATGTATATAGTAATATATATGTATATATATATATTATATATATGTAAAGAAGTTAGTTTTGACTGAGAAATATGAGTAGGTCTTCAAGGATACATCAATAAAAAGGCAAGATTTAGAAGTAATCTTTAATTTTCCAAACGTTTTGATATAGGATTTATGCCATCATCAGTGGATCTATAGAATGAACATTGAAAATTAATATAAACTAGGAAAAAATGACAGAAATTGGAAAAAGAGCTAAGATATAAAGTAATTAATTGTTAAAAATAAAATTATAACTAAACAGATAGATAAACAAGAGAAATGAAAGTAAAAGAAATATATGCAAACATACAAAGCGTAATATATATACATAAATATACACATAAACATTATATATGATATACATGTATACAAACACATACACATACAATATATATATATATATATATATATATAATACATACACATAATACTGTTAATATCTGTTTAGTTATAATTGTTATTTTACAATATATTACTTATATCTATAGTTCTTTTCCAATTTCTGTCATTTTTTCTAATTATATTAATTTTTCAATGTTCATTCTGTAGATCACTGATGATGACATAAAATCCTATGTCAAACGTTGGAAAAATTAAAAATAACTTCTAAATCTTGCCTTTTATTTGATGTATGCCCTTGAAGAACTTACTCATATTATATGTATAATATGGTTGTGTGTGTGTGTGTGTGTGTATATATATATATATATAATATATATATTAGATATATATATATATTATGTTATCCAATTTAGCAGGGCTAAACCAAGGCTACCAGTCTCAAGACATTGCCACTCATGACTATTTAATTATACTTCATTTCTCATAATACTTCTAAAACTTAAACTGTATCTCCTATATTTCCATATTTGGTTCCAATTGTTTATTAATTGTCTATTTTCCCCCCTAGCTAAAATGGCTGACAAACCAAAACGCCCGCTCTCCGCTTACATGCTGTGGTTGAACCAAGCTCGTGAACAAATCAAGGCAGACAACCCTGGAATCAAAGTGACAGAAATTGCAAAGAAGGGTGGTGAATTATGGAGGGGCATGAAGGACAAGTCTGAGTGGGAAGCAAAGGCTGCCAAGGCCAAGGCTGAGTACACAAAGGCTGTCGAGGAATTTGAAGCCAATGGTGGATCAGGTGATGCCCCCAAAAAGAAGGCAGCAAAGCGAGGAAAGAAGGCACCCAAGAAAGCAGCGGTAAGATAATATTAAAATAAGAATTAACAAGTAATAATTTTTTTATGACATTCATAAGAATGTTTTGTTTTACTTTTATTTATCTCGGTATTAAGTATTGTTCAATTTCTTTTTCCAGGGCAAAAAGAAGAAGGCCGACTCAGAGGACGAAGAATCAGAAGAAGAAGAAAGCGATTGATCTCATAAATTAGTTTAATCACAACACTAATAATCATTTATTCACTAATTTATTGTAATGAATGGGGCCTTACAGCGCTAGTTCTATAAAAAATTTAAAACAAATTTTAAGCATTGACTTAGAATTTATGAACCTGCATTCAAAATTAATTTACAACTTTTCTTAAATTCACATTTCATGTGAAATGTAATGTCAGCCCTATCATTCATTTCATAATTTTATAGAATGTACATAATTTAATTGTGTTCAAAGGATTTTAGATTTTAATGCAGTAATTTTAACCATTATTTTGCAATATAAGTAAATATTTAGCATTTAAGTACAATCATTAATTAAATACAAAAGTAAACAAAACCTGATTTGTACATATAAAATTTTGGGTTTGTGAACTCCATATAGCATTGAAACATTATTTAAATTGAATTTAGAATGTAAATCTTGTTAGTTAAAGTATTTCATAAATGGAATTAATATTATTGGTTTATCACCAATAATGTTTTGGAGCTGTATCTTACCTTAAATTTATATTTGTAATGTGGTATTGACTTATAGTATTTTCTTAATATATACAGTTTAGTATACTGAAATTTTTGTTAAAAATACTTCACATGTGTTACCATAAGTCATGACATTTTTTATACCTGTTTAGTAATAATAAAGTGTATAGATTTTATCTCATCTTCATAAAATGTGTTTAACTACAAACTTATCTAATATTTATGGTTTGAAGTTACGCTCTACAAATCATTTTGGAATTACCTAGTTAACTTTTGTGTTGCATTCCCATGTTCATTTTAATTTTAAATGTTATTCTTGAAATAAATAAATCAATCCGAGTGTTAATATGATGTTTTTATTCATTCAAGAAATATGAAATAATTGTCTAGGTTGTATTACTGGTATTACTAATAATCTTAGGTATGATGTGGAGTGAGAGCTTGCAATAGAAAATGAATTTTTATTTTATTTTGGTTAGTATATTGTTGAAGTTTTTGAGCACAACACATTTTTCATTAAGTAATTGTTCAACATTTGAATAATTTTAAATTCAGTAGCATATGTTGGTAACAAATCAGAAAAATATTTTTATTCATTTTATGATTATATTATAACTTGAGTGTTCTGTGACAAATTGATGAGTGCAGTAGTGAGTTTGTGATTGTGATTAGCACTTGTTTTGATAGTTTGGTTCAGTTGCAATACAGCAACGGTAAGTTATTCTACTATTTCTAATTAAATATGTATGTTTTTTGTTGAAACAAAATGTTTAATAATTATTTTTGTATCATTAGTGTAATAGAAAAACTATTGAAATTCGTCGTTTTTGTGAACAGGCAATGGTATTGTTTGGTTCTTGTTAGTGTTACATCATATACCCTTCATTGTTACCATAGTAGTTATCAAATAGTATTAGTTATAATAATTAATATGCCAAAGTTTAAATATTATTGTTTATATGCATTTTGTTATACTTTATATTTTTATATAATACCATGAATTATTTGTTTTACAAAGATGCTTCCTAAAAGTAATCATTTCGCTTCAATAGGGCGCGTTCATTTTCTATGTATTTTACTAAAATGTCTATCTATACCATGAAAGCAAAGGGAAAATAATATTAACCCTGTGACTTCCAACCTGTGGGTCGCGACCATAAATGTATTATGAGGTCTTTGGTCACGACCCCAGGGGAGCGTTCGGCTGTTTTCAAAATAATATTTTTATAAACTAGTGGTGTATGGCATCATGCTTCAAGGCAAATTGTTAGAACTTCCCGTACCAAAAAATTTTTTTTTTTAAACTTTGAAAAAACTAGTGGGGCGCATGGCATTTGTACCATTTTTTTTTTATTAAAGATTAACATTTTTGAAAAAAATTTACTATGAAAAATTAGATTTTTGAGAAACTATAAATTTTTGACAAAAATTTACTTTTTAAAAAAAAAAGACTGAAGAAAATTGTATTTTGAAATATTTTGGAAATTCTGAACTTTTTTTGAAAGCAATCGTACTGCTTTAACTGCATAGAGACCAAATTTCAAAGCGCGTAAGCGCCGCGCCGCCGTCTAACGGATAAGCATTGGTACGGAACCCATAGGAATGTTTATACTTATTGTTAAAATCTCTATAAAATATCTGATAATTTGATGTGCATATGTTTAATGATCATGTTTGACCGCCAAATGGCACTTTTTATATTTTTTTTACTAGATTTCCGAAACCACTAGACCTGCTTTTCCAAAAATTTAATCAGTTGTTCATCTTGTCAGTACAAATGTTTATTGAATTATTAAAATCGGACGCTCCGATCTCTTAAAAACTGAGGTACCGTTTTTGGCACTTTTTGCCCCCTATCTTCGGAACGGCTAGACCTGTCTTTGCCAAAAACTAATCAGCGGGTCTCTTTATCAATGCGAATTGAACGTTTTTTGAATTATTGAAATCGGTTGATCCCTCTTCCCGAAATCGTCGACGAAAATTTATATCCGCGCACACGCACGCACACACACATACATCAATTTTTTTAAGGTATGCCAGAATGTTCAGAAACCTTTGAAACGTAAAGATATATAAAAATTTTCATTTTCGATTTTTTTGCGATTACTATAACTAAACTTATGGGAAGTTAAAAATAACCAAATGTTGGAATTATATTCAACTTATAAATATAAATAATTAATGAATAAATATAATTCTTTCTTTTTACAAATATTTTGACAAATTTATATTAATTTATAGCACGATAAATAAATTATAATATTGTTGAGTATTTATAAAATTAGATTGTTAGAAAAATGAAGGAGGTTTTGTTTGCCGCAAAAAACGTAAGGGGTTTTGTGAAAAGGTTGGGGACCCCTGTACTTTAATAAATCAATAATACTTTTAACAAAAATCCTTAAATAATCTGTAAATACATTTTGGTTGAAGTTCAAAAAGTTGGACGAATTCAATTCAAAACTAGGTGTAAGTGCCAATTTGCCTTGAGGCAAGTTGTATGAGCTTCTCAACAGGTGTAAATACGACTTAATAAGATATCAATTATTTTTTTATCTTCATAATTACATCGCTTGTCGTAGATTTCTAATTTTTCATATGTTTATATATCACGTCAGTATTAGTACAAAATTTTCTTTAAACCTATTGATAATTACTTTAATGTAATAATAATTTTATTAGATAGAAAATAGACAACCAGTGGGTTGCTGTCGAGTTTCAGTAATTGCTTCATAACAGTTAATATTTATGCTTCATTGTTGTTCAAAAAAAAAATAACTTCATGCTTTAAGCATAATTTATTGAAAATTTATATACTGATAATAAATACATTCTTATAAAATAGCACCCATACTTATAGCTATAACAATTAAATCGTTATGTTTTAAAACTTTTTTCAGTCTATCTTTGGTAAATTAAAAATTAAGAAAGTTAGCAAATATTAAAAATTCTTTTTTCATAATTAAAATTAAATTTTATAATAAAATTATACGGCGTCTTCGTCATTAGATCTTTAAAATGAGAAAAAAATCTTGTCTGGTATTAGCGATAAAATATTTTTTCCATATATTTTATTAGGCAAACTAAAATATTTTAGTGTAGTTTAGTGAATTTTGTGAATTGAGAACTATTCAACGAATTTCAAACGATTATAAATTCTAAGATTAATTTAGAAAGTATGGTAACCCAAATACGTGTTTCTTAGAACGTTTTTGGATTTCAATGGAAAAAATATAAATCACTTGATTGCTTTATATATTGTAGTAGATAATTAAATTTATCAATACTTTATTTAGTACTTTATAATATCAGTTCTGAATTCAAAAAAAAGTTATCGAAGTTATGAAAGATATTTTCACTTTTTGCGAGTTTATAACAGAGAATTAAATATAAGAAAAAAGAATTAAAAGAACAATCTCTAAATACTTCTATATGTCTATATATCTATTCATCTTAAAGTAAGAATAACATTTATCACAAATCACACAAAACACTCGTACTAAAATAAATATTCAATTGAACTTTTAAATATAAATAAAAAATAATGAATCTTATATATTCCTATTCAACTATATTACTTAGGTTATAAAAGGGTCTTCTAATTCCCTAGAATTACTTCTCCAAACTTGGTACACACACATACAAACTCATATTAGGGTGGTCCTTAATATGGACATTTTCGAATTTCTTTGCTCCCAAGGGCTTAAATGCTTCCAAATTAATAAAAAAAATTCTCTAAAAGTTTTAGTTCTTGATATTAACATTTAGATAGTCCGAAATCCAATTAAAAGTTTCGTATATTATATTTTTTAACATATATCATTAAGTAAATTCTTGCGCCATCTGTGATAGCAGACTTGTAATTTTGATGGCAATTTATTGCTGATAATTTGAGTGTCAAAATCACCAATTAAATAAATATTTTGATGCCATGATGAATAAATATTTCGTTAAACTGTCCACATGGATTTAATTAGAGGTTAAGTGTTTTATAAATATTTTTAAGTGCCATAACATTTAAGTTTACAAATGCTATCACAGATGGCACTAGAACTTAGTTAATGACATATGTTAATAATAAATATAAGAAACTTTTAATTGAATTGCGGATTATCTAAATATTATTATTGAGAGCTAAAAGTCTTAGATAATTTTATTTTATTAATTTGGAAGCATTTGAGCCCTTGGGAGCAAAGAAATTCGAAAATACCAATATTAAGAACTACCCTAATTTATATAAATATATATATATATATATATATATATATATAATTGGCACAAAAATAATTTTATTTTATTCCATCTCATCCTGAATTAGACTGACTTGTGAGAATTAGGTAGTAGACCAAAGATCGTATATAAATCTTAAAATGCTGAATTTTAAATTTGTTGTGAATGAATAAGGTTATCTATGATCCAAATTAAAATATAATTCAACAAAACATTTTTTGTAATGTTTTTTTTTTCTTTTTTAAATTATTGGTGATATAGTAGTTTGTGAAACAAAATTAATCAGGAGCATGATTTGCTTATTCAAGTTCTGAAGTTTTTGATTTTTTATAAATAAATAAATATAGAAAAGATCATACCAAAACCTGGCTCAATTGATACACTTCAGTAATAATTATTCAATTTCGCTTATTCAACTCAAGAAGTTTTTGATTTTTTATAAGTGAATAAATATAGTAAAAATCATACCAAAACGTGGTTCAATTGATACACATCAGAATTAAACTATTTTCTTTTTAAAAGAAAAGTCAGGGAAATCAGGGAAAATCCGTTAAAAGAAGATAAGCACTTAATCAACTTCTATCCTCCTCTGAGCAAAGTATGATGTCATCAGTTATTTACAAAAATCAGTCAAATCAAGATAAAGTCAGTTGCCCAATCACAATTATGTGTTTTGTTCGAACTTTAATACTTAAAAACCTCTTTATTTTATTGGTTTCAAATTAAGACTCCTAAACTTCCTCTCGTTTGTTTCCACTTCAGCAATTTCATCAGCAAATTTATCTCCTTGAAAAACATCTATCAACTCCGATTGTGGATCAGCTGTGACACCAGCGGCTGCTGCGATATCATTAATGGCAATATCGTTAGATAAATCATTATCTGCATGTTGAATTTCATTTGTATCCAGTAAATCTTCATATTGGTAGTTGGCATTATTCCATTCATCTGGAGAAGGCACTGAGAGGATTTCTTGGCTGTAGTCATAAACTTCTTCTGGATAGGCTGGTTGTATGGGTTGAGATTGAGACACATCAAGGCTGAAGGAAAAATGGGGAAATATAATAAACTATTGCAAGTAATTGCTAAAAAATGAATCTGTATTTTTTGAAGATGCAAGATATTGGTTAGTTGTAGGTATTGTAAATAATTTGTTAATTTTAATGTCGAATTACCAACTTTTTTTAGGAGGAGAAGGGGTTTGACGAAAGATCACGAAATATCACGTGGGGGAGGGAGGGGTATAGTAAGATATCACGTATATTTATTTTTTAAAGAAACATTAAAAAAAAGTTACAGTTTTTTCACCTAATTAAAAATACACGTGATGTTTGTTGGGGGAGGGGGAAAAATTTTGAATATCACCAGGTATCACCAAAGGGGAGCGCTAGGTCCAAAAATTCTTAAAAACTCGCTCACGTGATTAATGGTCGCCCCCTTAGTAGATGATGCTTTACGATATGGCAAAATAGTAAAGATGTACGTTGTATATTAGATGAGCATACTACTTGAATAACCTAAATTATTAAGAATTCTAAATTTTCATTGCAATTTTTAGTTTTTAGATGTGCAATTCTTAATTTTCAAATACATTTTTAACTTCCCATAATAGACCAAAAATCGAAAATGAATTTTTTTGCATATCTTCACGTTTCAGAGGTTTCTGAACATTTTGGCATACCTCAGAAAAATGGATGTGTGTGCATGTGTGTGCGTGTGTGTATGTGTGGAGACCATTTTTCGTCCACGATTTCGGGCGTACTGATGAACCAATAATGGTTCAAAAAACATTTGATTCGTATTGATGAAGAGACGTGCTGCTTAGTTTTGATGACAGGTTAAGCGACTTCGGAGATATGGAGCAAAAAGTGTTAAAAATGTCAGTTTTTAAGAGAACGGATCAACCGATTTGAGTGATCCAAAAAACATTCGATTCGTAATGATGGGGAGAAGTGGTGCAATCAGATTTTGGCAAAGGTCTAGGTCTAGCCGTTTTGAAGATATATATGGCTAAAGGTGCAAAAAATAGCAGTTTTTGAGAGAACTAAGCATCAGATTTGAATGATTTAAAAAACTTTCTACTTGTGTTAACGAAACGGTTGTTACTGGAGTAAGAATTTTTTTAACTCATTTTTTTTTAATTCTCAAATAAATTTTTTTTGAATACTTATAAATATCTGATATGATTCTTCATTTGAAATCCGATTAAGTTTTGTTTATTTAATTTTTATAAAATAAGAATAATGAAAGTTTATGAAATAAGAATAATGAAATCGAATTATTATTAATTTCATTAAGGTATGGGAAGTTCCAGCAATTTGCCTCAAGGCACAAAGCCATACACCACTAGTTATTAGTAATAATTGGACATTCTTAAAATATGTTAGAACCTTTCAGTAGCGTTACTGGGGGGTTTGCTGGTCCGTATAGCAGTGTCTTTCCTTGCGGAAAATGTTAAGCGAAATGGTTAAGTGTAAAAACTGTTCATGATGCAGAAAAAATAAGGAACGGATAATAGATTCTGAAGTTTATTAGTTTAATTAGTTTTAGAAAGAGATTATAGCTCAATTAACATTTTTATCTCTTTGTTGCAAATAAATCCTTTAAATATTGTTCCTAAATATTTCCTTAGCAATGACGATGGTCGAGTTGGTTAATAAAAACGTATCGATATTAATTTTTTTATTCATGATTGATTTTGGTTAATTTTAATTATTTTAATTAGTATTACCTTTCGGTGCTCCTGTCAAAATTTTCGCTCTTGTCATCCGAAACATTTTCTTGGAAGTCTTCGCTTGCATTATTTCCTGAAACCTTCACATACCACATTTCTGTCTGTTAGTTTTAATGTGCAGAAAAACAAAAATTATACAAAATTATGCCTACGTGGGTATTAAATTCGTACTACAAGCAATTGCTAGTGATTTAAAATTTTAATTTTTTTCTTGGAATTAAATACAAATCTATATAAAACTACAAAAATTGTACAGTTGTGTAATTAAAATTCTCACAATAATGGACCGATTTTGCCGCATAATAAACCAATGTTATAGCAAGGCTATGTTATGAAGAACTTTTTATACAAATTTGTTCTAAATATTGTCAAAAGCAACGTGTTTGCTGTGCAGTCAGGCGTTTTTCTCAGAACCTAACCTAGAAACTGCACAAATGTCAAAAAAAAACGATGTTAGATAACAGGGTCTTTCTGACTCAGGTTCATAACATACGAATGACGTTGCAGTTTGTGTGTAAAACGTCTGAATGCACAGCAAATACATGACATTTTGATAGTATTCAGTATGTTTCAGTTGCATAATGTATGGAAGTTGGAGCGTAACATGGCCTTGTCATAACATTTGTCTGTTATGCGACAGAATCGGTCCCTGAATCTACAAACTTTTAAAGAAACTATGGCAAAAATAAATTTGATCTTAAAATGTTCTTGGACAGTGCAAAAGTGCTGAAAAATTGTGATTTTTTTTTATATCTTTATAAGATTTCATATAAAATAACGAGTAGACATTTGAAAATATGTAAATTATAACTAAATAAAATAATAAATCATGCACTTATCATTTCAATAAATATTATATGCATTTATCATTTCGTGCACGCAAGCAAACCATTTCCAAAGGCGCATGCAATATATGAAAAACTTAAATATTTTGTTTAAAATATATATTAAAATATTTTTACATGCGATTTTAATATACGTAGATAAATATTATAATATAGTTATAATTATAAAGTAGACCTAATCAAAAATAATAATATATTAAGTTTTAATACATGCATTTTCGATGTATAGCATATTAGTTGGAAGTTTAAACCACATACCAAATTTCGTCCATAGAAATACTCATTAAATGGGTTTTTAACCAGTTTTGTACTTTTTTGCCAAATTATGATCAGGTCTCTGTTACATAATAAGTAATATTTCTTGCTATTAATATATTTTAACTTAATAATTTAATAGTAATAGTAACGTATTAATTTTATTTCACTTTTGAATTATATTTTTAATTACATCACGCTTATAAATAATTGCAATTATAAACACTGGGATCTCTAAAATTCAATTGCAATTAATTACAAAAATAAAAAAATATGACATTTAAACTTTTGATTTATAGTGTACTTTTTAAAAATTGTTGTTATTTTTTTATTTAATATATATTTTTATATAATTGATTTATATCAAGAAATAAATTCTTCGATCATGCTTAATCAATCATCCTGCTAATTAATAATCATGCAAAAATAATTAGAGACCCATAAAAAATTTAATAAGGCTGTCCGATGATTAATGCAAATTTTATATGATATGACAATAATTAACCAAATATCATTTTGGTTTTAATGTTTAAAAAGCATTTCTTTACCTAATGTATAGCAATAAGTTTAATAAGATTATTATTTAGTATAACGAATTTATTATGATGAATTTGTTAATTTCCGGAAAATATAGTCGATAAGAAGAAATTTTGATTTTTCAACATATTGAAGTTGATTCAGAAAATTTCAGCACCATTAATGGATCATTTTAGAAAACGTTGTAAATTGAATTTTAAAACTATTGAAGTCAAATTGTTCTATATAATTTTGGATCGAATTGACATTTAATATTTATCTATGTAGAATTTCAAAAATATTAGCAAGTATTTATATTAATATTTGACTAAGTTTACGAATGTAATTTGTAGTTGAAAAATCGAATTTCTTCTACTATTTCATATCCTGGTTATCTGTTATAATTCGTTTTAAACTCATGCAGATAATATTAGGGATGCTTTGAATTATCCTGATATATTTAGAATTCAAGGCATT